TTTGGGAATAGAGAGCGACGCTGCTGTTACAACAATAAGACCTTTAAAAGATACATTAAAGATCACAGAATCTATGACTAACTTACTAAGCGACGAAGACAATGATAATCACAGAGCTCAAAATTCAAATAGTGAAAGTCCATTACCGATAGAAGGTGCGTTTTAAAAAAAATTGTTTGAAATGTTATCAATGTATTACGTTTTTTTTCTTTTTTCAAAAACTTATAACTTATTATTATCTTATCATTTTAATTTAAAATTAATTAACCATACATTTAATATTTGCTTTTGAAATTATTTTAAAGTAATCTAAATAATTCTTTAATTATAGGTCTTGAAGAGATGGAAGCTTTGAAACAGGAAAATGAAGCGTTAAAACGAAGACTGGTGAAAACTAGGAAAGCACTGGAAGATACATTTGAGCACTTATCAGCTTCAAACAAGAATAAGAAAAACGTTGAAAAAGCGATAATAAAACAACTTATGGTTACAAGAAGTATCTTAAAAAAGACGAGGACATTTGATGAACCTTTGGACAATTAAAAGATTACAAATAGAGATTACAGACTGACTGACAGATCAAAAAATATGCACAAAAAGTGAAAAAGGAAGTAGGACTATGAAAGTTGTTACTTGTTGAATTGTGTTCTCATAGATTTACTGTTCATTTAATGTATCGTGTTTTATCCGCGTTTCTCATTTATCTCTTCTCACATTTTTTCCGAGATGAGAGAATTAACGATACATATTGATAAAAAAAATATATAATACTCAGACGTTAAGTACGAGTTATGAAATTTTTAAACGAAAAAATTTTCTAATCGACAAATATTTTCGTACACAACCTATTTTCGCTATTTAAGAAAAGAATTTAAAAAATGTAATGAAAGAAAGATTAAGATGAATTTGTACATTGAGATTTGTATATATATTTATATAGAATACGCGCATGATATTTTTGACATTTTTGTAGATTTTCTTTCATTGTGGAAAAGTTCTTCCAAGTGCTGAATGCACGAAAGTCGGTATCAAAGCCTGTCTTCGTTTGCTGACGTATTTTGCTTTATAAATAACAGAAATTTGTGTATGTGTGTACATAATTGTAGCTCATATATCGTTATGTAACATCTGTACATAATCACCATGAATAAAGTGCCATTGATATGCAGAATTTGTGTGTCAATCACAAATACGTGATGTACATTAAGTTGATTATATTTAGCTTTTCGAATTTCTGTTTTTGAATTTTCGTCGATGACCTACACCTTCCAATTATGAATTTCATCACTCGGCCGCACATGATACTTGAAAATAATAGAAATAAAACCACGCATGGAGATTAAGATTATGATAGAATTTTTATTATCACTCCATGACTAGATAATAATATAAAGATCCGTAATAACTCATAGTGATGTAAAGTTTATGAACTGCGCCAGACACGCGAATTCCTTCGACCGCACATCCGGCGAGGAGCGGAGAGAAATACTGTACAACATTAATCTTTCTTATAAGTCTAATATACCTTTCTTACCGTTTTCTTCCGTTCGCGATAATCGTATCCGTTGGTAAAACGTATGAGAGCATGTAAGAAGACAAGGGAAGCATGACGGAGATGGAGAGAGTTGGGATCGGTACCGAGATATATACAATTCTACAATGACATTCTTGCGCTTTTGTCGCTGCTGCTGCTCGCGTTGCATGCTAATGTCATTTAATAATAATATGAGATGTATTTGGATTAATCAAAATTTATTACTGTCTCATTTATCCTTTTCATTACGAAATCGTTAAAATTGCGAAGTGCCAAAGAATACCTTCTCTGCTATACATTCTCTCTATGTGTATATTATATTTATATTATTTAAAATTTTTGTGTAAAAATCTGAAACCTCTTATTTTTATTTTATTCTTAGCAGAGAGATATCGTAATACATGAAAATATTAGAAAAATAATGATAATAAAGTTTTCTTCGCGCTGATTGATTTGAATTTTGAATAATTCTATCTTAACGAAGAAAACTTCTACGACGTTGCAAAACGTTTACCGTTCTTGTACAATTTGTAAATATATTGTGATAACACAGTAAAAAATCAAATTTGTTAATCCATCTAGATTCATATTATTATTTTATGGTTTTCACTTAGCATGGTTTTACCGTACATTCAAGTTGTTTAATTTATTTTTCTTCTGTTTTGATTATCAACATATTTTGCGACTTACGACTCGAGAACAATTTTTTCGCTGTATACACAATGACGCGAGTCACTTATAAGTTATCATTAATCGACGGCTTACATGACCTCGTAGCCAAGCAGCGAGGTGCAGTTCAAAATTACTATAATTTTGATTGTTGATTGAACAGATGGGCGTGCAAAAGTAGCATAAAAATGCACGGAATTGCACAATTCTGCTCAAAAATTGTAACAACTCTATATTCGTTTTTCAGATTTCAAATTTATATTAAACAAAACTTATTCAGTGGAAGTAACAGGAATAATATGCGTTTATATAAAAGCGTTTACAAATGTAAATTAAGTGAATATTGTTCAACGTAACATTTTGTTGTAAATGTTGAAACCTTTGCACGTCAATCTTCTTTCAACTAGCAAGGAAAAGTTTCCAATCCATGATTATTCGATTTTGAAAAAAAAAACTATTTCTATACAATATAACATCAAATTTGGAAAAAATGAAAATGTATTTATTCACACGAATATATAATATAAGTTATAATTATATTTTATTGGGATTACTAAATTGATATAATTTGATTTCTTTTTTGTATTCCAATACTGTACTACTGGTACAGTAAAAAGTAAATTTATTACTGTACTAGTAAAAAGTAATAAAATTATATATCATGAATTGGATCAACTTTATCCTGCAGGTCTAATTCGTACTATTTACAATACACGCTTCAAGATTTTAGCGTGACTTACACGCAAGCAAAGTAAATCAACACGTATGCCCGATGCTCGATTTTCAGAATTCAAGTCTTCGAAGATCGTTCAAACGATGATAAAAATAAAACAATTATTTTATTTTGATCGAATATCAGAATTAATTCGTTATTTTTTTCTATTCGATGATATAGCATAAAGCAACAAGATAATAATTTAGAAATGTAGATTATACTATACGAAACATTTTATTAGTATTACAAGAGATTATGTATATTTTTAAATATATTAAAGACAAAAAGAGAAGATATAAAGAACAAATCTATCCGACAAGAAAGTATTAGGTTGTTCTTAAAGTTTGTTTCAAATTTTCTAACTCAAAATAATATATTATATATTTAAAAAATTAGCAATTATACCATTCGATAGAGCACTGATTTCTTAATTGCGGTACGATGATTTTTAACGGAGTTATGGGCAATTGAAATCAAAACACATTCTTTTACTTTTACTCGTGAATAACTAAGGAGTAAAAATCAAAAACATTTTTGAAAAACAATTTTATAGCTTCAAGCTTCCATGGTAGGTAATCGAAATTTGTCGCCAATTTTTTTTGAATATGTGAAAGACTCACAAAGTGAAAAGAAAATTTTTTATCTTTTTCAGCTCGTAGTTTTGTATATATAAAAATTACCAAACTCACAGAACTCAGAAGTTACCTTTCAAAAATGTAGATTTTAAGCTTAAAAATTCTTTTAAATTTAAATTTTTTTTATTTTTTACGAAGATATAGTATATACAATTTTAAGCTAGAAAATTATTAAAACAAACTTTCCAAACAATCTAATAGATAGATCATACGTTCTTTTGCAAATTTATGAAATCTTTAAATTTGTGTAAACTATTGAATTAACTTACACTTTGATACTTTTCAAAAACTTGTTCTATGAAAATCGGAGATCTAGAGGCAGTAGTACGATCATACAGATGATCACATTCGTCGTGATGATGTGTGAGTTCATTCGGATATAATATCAAATATATGTGTGTCATACCACATTTCTCTAAAACTTGCACATGTGTCTTGTTATAAAATCTCGATAAAGTCTCATTTTCTACAAATTGTCTTCCGGGCTTAGAGACTAAAATGAAACAATAATGATTATCATAAATCACGACGAAAGGATCCGCGAACAGTCCGGGAACACGTTTAACACTACCTCCTATTATTATTCGACAATCAAACTCCGAAAAACGAGGAACTTGTACATAAATATATTTAGATTAGTCGTAGTATCGAATGCGAATCGTATGTATGCCATAAAAGTATGACGTCGATACGGTCGCTCGAATGACGAAAGATCGTGAGGAGGGACGGTGTAAAATACCAGTATAGAATAACTCGGATTTGGACCATTTTGGGAACGTTCAAGCATCGCACAATCCGTCATCACTGAAGACTATGTCAATTATTGAAAATTGTCTCAAAATTTTTCTCAATTCATCGCAGATGATCTATCCAAAAAATTACTTCTTTATCCTAACACTAATCGTGTAATAATATGAAAGGTCTAAAAGCGAAAAAAGCGATCTCTATTACTCGTTCAAATATTAAATCACTAAAATAATAATTACTATAAATTGTTATAAATTCCATAAATTGGTCCAAAATAAATTAAAAATATGAATATTGTAAATAAGAAACTTGTGTACATGAAAAAGAATAATATACATTCCACATGAAAATATAGAAAAATATCAGATGCACATAATAAATTAAAGGATTATCACACATATTTTTAATAAAAAATAAAGATCTATTTTCGCGCTTTTAGATCTTCCATATGTAAAAAAATTGTAGATTTTCTTTGCAGTTAAAAAGACCAGAACAGAATCAACCGTCGAACGTATTCACATTTTCTGAAGTTTACGAAATGTATTATTATATATTCGAAGAAACAGCGGGAAAGATTTCTTCAGTTTCCTCCAGGATGACGACGACGACGACGAGGCCAACACCGACGATCTCAGGTGAATGCCCCGCTTTGCCAGTACGTTATTCTATATGGTATTTGGCGACGCGCGGTTTTGGCGGGTTATGTGGCGTAATGGGAATGGGAGTGAGAATGATGGTGAGCATGCGGGGGTGGCGGTTCGCCGAGCCAGGAGTCCGGCGACGGCGGGAAATCGGGGTAACCACCGCCACCGCCGCTACCACCGCCACCGCCGCCGCCGCCGCCGCCGCCTCCGCTCGATTCGTTACTCAGATCCGATGCTGGTCCTGGCACCATGCCGCCCGGTCCCCCTGGAATCATACGGTTTGCGTCAGTCGTAAACTTGCGACTCTCGCACTAGAATAGTTTAACGCTCGAGTTTCTTCTTGTCTCAACCCGAGTATATTATTGACCACCAGCGAGCAAAACTCGTCTAAAATGGGAGCTGAGAGCTGAGAAAATTGACAGATTTGTGAGAATCCAGATGGTTCGCAAAAAAACGCAGAGTTAAAAAATCAGAATCTCTCAACATTGTTAAAAGAGGGTCTACGAAGCTGAAGAAATGAAGAAGGGAATTCAGAAAATTAAAAGAATTGAGAAATATTAAGAAACAGAGAGAGTTTTTGGAAGACTTGAAAAACACAGGAAACTGATAGGCTCGAGCATTATATGGATAAGATGGCCACAAGTTTTTTTAATAATTCCTAAGTGCATATATATATAAAGAGCAATTTTTATAGTTATTTTGAAAGCCTATAGCCATCTTACCCGAGTTCACTGTAGTAGAGAGAACCAAGCGAGCGTAATTTCAAGAGTGTGTTGCTTAGTAATTGACGTCAGGCTTACCGAGAGTGGTATACACCGAAAGACCAGCGTCCGGCGGATATGGAAACTGAGGTGGTAAGGACGGCGATCTGGACGTTGAGAGATACGGAGGTGTTGTCGCACCCAGGTATGCGCGGGGCGGCCCACCCCCGGCAACTCCGTTGCCACCGCCGCCTGGACTCGCACCCTCGCCATCCAGGCCCATGTTCACCACTGTCCCGTAACTATCGTTACTCAAGTCTGCAAATAGATCGTTCCTCTCATTAGGTGTTGCTAGGCTAGTAATTGGATTTATACAACAAATATTCTATTCTCTAAGAAATGCGAAGAAATTAGTTATGACGAATATGAATTAGGACGTATTAAAAATAGATAGTTAAAAAAGTGCTCTCAATCACGAATCGCAGGAGTTATTTATCTGTAACGAGTGATCATTCTAACGCCGTAAATTGAAAGTCGAAAGTCGAGCCAGCGACTGGCGGCATCCATTGTGTCTGCGTCTCTCAGTACTCAGATGCCTGCTATCCGAGGGGAAGACGATCTCCTCAAATATTCAGGAGATCGCGGAGGCTAACTGCCGGTTCACCGTGTCCGAGATTTCAGGAAGATTGCGGGCCATCCTTGAATTTATGCTCGCTATTACCTGCTCTTACTCGGGAACGAGTACCGTATATAATACATTGCTCGTTTGGGTTGTTTCGGAAGCGGCTGATGCCATTATTATAGAAATAACTTTGGCACACCATTATTTTATATAGGAGAAAGATGAATCTCGTGAATATCTGATAGTTGCATGTGCATATTTTTATATAGTTATATATTATATACATTACCCTACCCCCCGTATTTAGTACTTAAATAGCGTTTTCGGTATATACATATTCGGCTCTTCCAAATATTTTTTTCATTCCTTTCTTCATTGCTCTTATATTCAAATGTTGTAGAAGTTTACTTGAAACTAACTAGTACTGCAATCTTTTTGTTTTTAAGACTAAGCAAACAACAAATGCTAATTTAACTAAAAATCTTTTTCCCAAAATTCAATTGAAAGAATCAATTTATTACAAAACTATAGTATTTATAGAATCCAGATAAATTGTGACATATAAGAATTATGCGATGTTTATCTTTCGGTTCTTTTTGCACCTTTTATTGCCATCTTTATATCAACAAAATATTTATATCAACAGAATGATAATGCAATAATGCAACTCACCGTGATGACCAAAGGTGGAGTCCAAGTCTACCTTTAGCTCGTCTTTGTCGAGTAGCTTATCGTGTCTAGGCGAGTGACCGCCTGTACCGCCTTTCATACTGCGAAAATATTGCGACCATCTCGTTCTACCAGCATCTTTCTTCAGCCTCTTTTCTTTCGCCCTTCTGCACAGAGACCATAATGGGTGTATATAATATATTGGTAAAATTTTATTTTACAAACTTCCGAAAGTAAGAGCACTAATTAAGTATCATAAATTTGGTAATAAAATCATCGAGAAACAAATTTTTTCAAATACTTATAATATATGTTCAACAAAATGTAGGTCTATATAAATACTAAATTATGGGATTAATTTAATTTTTAGAATATATATCTCGTTGCGCTTAATCGTCAATTATATTTTCATAAACAAAATAAAAAAATTTTATTGATTTATTTGGATATTGTGCTAATATCAGTAGTGCAAATATAATTTATAATTATATATTAAAATATATATGATGGAACTCCTATTTTATTACTTTGATATCACGCGTTCAATGGTTATTGATATTAGACGTTGATAAAATAAGAAAAAGAATAATTTCCAGGATGATAAGCATACTCGTTATGATAAGTACTCGATTTCTTATGATAAATATTCTAACGTCTCATATACATTTATATTTTCCATTATCGTTTCGTTGAATAGTGAAAGAATGTGTATCTTATCTCATCACGGCAATCTGATATTAATCTCGCATTACGTCAAATATATCGGCTCGACTTTTCTGGAAAACTACATTGCACGTATGCGGTTTTCTGAATTTACCTGTTATATAGTATATTTATCTGCAGTCATTGATAGGCCTTATTTACTTATGCTTCACGTTATTTTCACGCGCTTTCTAACATTCGCATCTGATAAGCGACTAGGATTCTCCTTTTAAAGATAAAAGAATTTTTCACGACGGATTGTTACTTTCCCTACAATATCACGTAGTGCCACTTGAGCGATAAGAGGGAAAAATGTACATTCACAGTTACAAAGTACAGCGCTTGCGATGTATCATGATCTTAGGATCTATGTTAAATAAAATTAATAACACGTACACACAGAAAGAGCGATTTTGCTGAAGTACCTAAAAATTTAGTTACATATATAGTATTAGTAGTTACATAAAAAATATATATTTATACTTATGTGTGTGTTGTGTGTAAAAATACTTATGTAGAACGTTGAAACTGACTGAATTTTTTGCAATATTGCTTATCATGGTTGAATTTTCTATATATAATTATTGTAGAACAAAGTTATTTTCAAATCTACGTATATGTACTCAAATTTTTTGAATACTTCAAATTTGTACTATAAAGTCATTCTTTCCGTGTGTGTGGATATCAATTTTATTATTATAACCTTTAATTTATTTTTTTAAGATTTACAAAATCCAGATGACTAAAAGTGATCTCTTTTATGATTATTTTCATTATTAAATAACATATGACGCATAATTTCCAAATAAAAATTAATTTCCACCATCGTTGATTGAATGATCTAAAACGTTTTATGTAGAAAGAGGTATTCGGACTGATGTCTCTCAACATCTCCGAATGTTTCGATTGTCTCCATAAAGGGTTTCGGAAACCGTATTACAGGCTACATCAGATGCTAGTACAGAATCCTGACGATGAATGTTTCTCTCCCTTAATTTAATAATTTCGTCAGGATCTAAAATGATCTTTTCTTTCTAAAACTCTCTTCTCTATATTGTATTCGCACCATGATTGCTACTTACAATGCGTAACTTTTTAAAGTGCAATTTCCAATTTTTCTTACCTGTTTTGAAACCAGACTTGAACGACGCGCATATCGAGGCCTGTGTCTTGAGACAGCTGTTCTCGCACGTGCCTTGCTGGCTTTGGACTGGTGTTGTATGCCAGCTTGAGAGTTTCAAGTTGCTTCGCTGTGATCGTCGTTCGTGGCCTTTTATTAGGTTGATCACCGTCTATACTTCCTCCATCTGCCAGTTCTGAAATATCATGTAAATTATATATTATACTACTTTGTGAAAACATTTTCTTTAATTATTCAATTAATAATATAGTAATATAATAGATAATATCAGTTACATAATCTTGATCGTAATGTATAAAATACTCCAAAACCTGACGTAAACATTTTATTAAATTGCTATAGAAAATTGTCTTAAATAAAGTCACAAAAAAGAATTCTTCCTTACGAAGATGCAATACTGAGAAAAAATTTACATCAAATTTTAATAAATATTTTTTTTTATAGTTCTAACGGTATATTTACTTACAGTAAATAAATATTTAGATAAATGAAAAAAGTGATAGTCGAATCTAACTAATGATTCTTGTATCTAATAAATAGATATATGTTTACTTTTATTAAATATTCCGCTAGGATTATTAAAAAAAATATCTAGGGTAAACCCGGTATATACGCCGCACCTATCGAAAACTTAATTTATCAATTATTATTTACTATGTTTAAAGCAAATTAATTATACAAATAAAAACTTTGTATCATCTACTAGTGTAAAAAAAATATTAGAAATCCAAAATAATTTATTTTCCATATTAAAAAGTAACTTTTTCAAACCCCTGCATTTTTGCCATTTATCCCATAGGGGGGG